AAGCCACAGCTGGTACAGAGCTGAGTGGTGTGGGAGGAAACAAAAAGTACCAGGGAAGATTGAATGGTATTTGTAGGCAACGGGTAAAAAAACAAAGCATAGGATGAGGCACATAATGGAGAAAATGGGATTCTTTTCATCTCCTCTCCTGTACTTGGTTACCCACATGCCTTTCATTCCTGTGCCTGCTGAACCTGTGCTCCACGAGAACGGCAGGTCCGGCATCGCCCCCGCTCACACTGCTGCTCCACCGAGGTGGGTGAGCACTGAGGAGCTGGGAAACTCATGGAAAAACAAGTGGGATGCTGCTTGCTGCTACTCACAGGATATAAGTGATGACTCCAATGGACCAGCAGTCCACGGCTTTGCTGTAGGGCTTCTGGGCGAGGACCTCGGGGGCTGCGGAACAGCAAAACCACGTGGGAATTCTGAGCAATAATGAGTTCTCCAATACTGGGAAAAGCAGGAGTTCCTGGTACACTTGGCCTCTGAGGTGCCAGCGCAGAGATCAGCTGCTAACAGCAGCATTTACCAGCTAAATTGGTCTGTGCTATTTGTATCTTATTTTATGCCATTAGATAGAAAGAACCACGGACAAGCTCTGCCTGTACCCTGAGGTTTGACCAGGGAGCTGTGGGTCCAGGCAGTGCAGGCTGATGGGCATTTAACACAATCCCATTGCATTTCAATTATTTTTATGATAATTCAATAAATATAGAGCTCCTAAAATTATCCTTTTCCTTGCATTTTTAAGCATGCTGAGATTTTTCAGTCTCCACACTCACTTTTAATCCAGCCTGTACGTGGTCCGTGCAGTGCATTTGCGAGCAGCGTGTTGTTATTAACATAATTATGTATTTATTTTTTTCCCTTTTTTCTAGGCAATGCACAGCCTTTCTTCCAGCCAATCCACCAGCACAAGCCCATTCCTGATCCTTGGCTTACCCACATATCCTGGAGTCCCACAGGCCGTGGACATGATGCCGTTCTGCTCCATTTTAGACAAGCCGAAATCCGTGATCATGATTTTGGAGTTCTCTTCAGGAGTCAGGTAAAGAAGGTTTTCAGGCTGTGAAAGAGCAGTCAGAGGCTGAAATCTGTGGCAGAAAAATGGCAAAGGGAGGGCAGGAAGCCCTGGGGCAAAGCAGGTGGAGTTGGCAGCCAGGGCAGCTCCCTGAGGTGCTGCTGAGGGCCAGGTCTCACCTTCAGGTCTCGGTGAACTATCCCATTCTCATGCAGGTACTTCACTGCTGTCAGCACCTGGTGGATCACCAGACTTGCATCTTTCTCAGTGTAAACACCTCGCTCCAAAATTCGATCGAAGAGCTCTCCCCCAGACACCCTGTGGAAAAAGGCAATTCAGAAAGAAAACGACTGGGAAAAAAAGAAAAAATTAAACAAAATGAATCATGCTTTTGTGTTAGGCCAGCTGACTTTCTGGTCCTTTCACAGCTCCACCTACAGCAGAACCATTCCTTGGGCAGCAGTTTTTGTGAGGCTGAGCTCATGGATGCTCCTGTAAGGAGTGCTGGTAAACCAGGGGAAACTTTACCCAAGTCCTGGTAGGACTGAGCCACAGCTATCCAGCCCTACTCCAGGCTCCACCACAGAATGGATATAGTTTTTTGCTTCCTTTAGCTAAATTTGCTCAGATTTGGGTGCTCACAGTGCTTTCTCAGCTGCTGACACGGTGCCCATATTCATTTCTAGAAACCCTGCACAGCTTTAATTAGAAATACTTCTGTCTCTGCCCTGCTAAACTGTGATGAATTAATTTGCATAAATAGCTCCAAATCATGGTTTAGAAAACTTGCTGCTAAAACGAGGGGTGGGCCAAGGCAGCAGGAGAAGTGTCCAGGTTGGTTCCAACCACGCAGCCCTCGCAGTGAGGGGGGTTTGAATGGTCCCTGTGAGGGGCTCCAGTGGGAAATATGAGGCATCACCCTGGTCCTGCCAGTCTTTGTGGTTCCTCTGTGGCCCAAAATGAAGTGTCTCTGCTCATACTTACAGCTGCATGACCAGGTAGAAGTGGGTTGTGCTCTCATAAATATCTTCTAAAGTCACGATGTTTTCGTGCTTTATCCTGCAAAGGTAAAGGTGGGTCAGAAACGAACCTGGTGAGGACACAAATGGTTTTTGAAGTGGAAAACCCAACAGTCATCCTGCTTTAATCACCAGTGAAAATCCACTGGGGTGTTTTGTGGCTGATCTCCCTTCCCCTGAGTGGTAGAGGACCATTGATGCCCCTACCAATTCTTTTATGAGTACCAGGCACCAACAGTTGGGGATCAGACCCTTTGTTTTTAAACCCCTACAGCAGGAGATTTCCTTAGGCTGCAAAAGCATCTGCTCTGGTTCCCTTTTCCCTGTCTGCTGCTCTGCTTCATTTATTTCTATTATGCCCCATCCTTGGAAGTGTCCAAGGCCAGGTTGGACAGGGCTTGGAGCAACCTGCTCTAGTGGAAGTTGTCCCTGCCCATGGGAAGCTCTTCAAATGTTACTTTTAGCTTACTAGGAGACTGAGACTCTGAGCTTTAAGGTCCCTTCCCATCCCAAATCATTCCATGATTTCCTTCCCCAGCTCTGGGGCAGTGTGGCTGTGTTGAGGTTACAAACCCAGCTGAGGAATGAGAGAAGAAACTTTACTAATTTCCTGATTCACAGTGATATTTATATATTCTTTAAAAATAAATACTAATTTCCTCATATTATTCTTCCTGTAGAGCCACACTTCTTTTTTGGGGGGTTGGACAAGAAGATCTCCAGAGGTCCCTTCCAACCCTAAATATTCTGTGATCTTGGGGAAGGACATTTGTTCTACTTTACACCACAACACCACTCACTTTTTCAGCACTGCTATTTCGTTCTCCAAGCTGCTGTCCCTGGTGAGGGGAGACTTCTTGATGCATTTCAGAGCAAAGAGCTTGCCAGTGCTTTTCTGCTTCACCAGGAAAACTTCTGAGAAGGCACCTCTGCAGAGAGGAGGAGAAGTTGTGTTTCAGTAGAAGCTGCTGCTGGGAACTGGGAGGGCACTTACAGAGAGAAGGAATAGCAAGAAAAAACAACATGGGAGTAACTTAACTCTAAGTGGATGCTGATTATAAAGCTACAACTCTGTCTCCAGCAGCCCCAAACTCAGGATATCCAAGGTAGGATTATGCAATATGGAGATAAACCCCCAAGTTTTCTCCGTAGAGAAAAGGTTATTTTTGCATAGTTGGCCATGAAGCTGTGTTGAGGCAGTGGGCAAAAAAAGAGGAAAATTAAAGCAGCTTCTTCAGGACTGCCTGGGAAGATACTGAAGTGTTTTAATCCTGCAGGGGCCTGGCTGTGGGTGAACTTGAGCTCCAGGGAGGCAGAGGGCAAACAGGGTTTTCAGCACATCCCTGGGTTCCTTTCGAGGAACCTTTGCACTGGAATCCCTTGGGGCTGGGGGGATTTTCCTGGGCTAAGCACAAGCTCAGGGAGGGGCTGTATCCATAACCTTCCTGAGATGGGGCAGTCTGGAGCTTGGGTGCTCACTGGGGTTAAACCTCTGTGGGAAGATCTCAACAGCCTCTGCTCTAATGGGGCCAAATTCCACTCTAAAATCACGTTTCTTCAAACCCCCCCCAGTCTTTAGGTATTCCTGCCCCTTCCCTGCCCAGCACTGCCCTGAGGACTGAGAAAGCTGAGTGGAAGCAGCCCAGTGATGTTGCAGTTTGGGTGTTACCACCCAACCCTCTGTATGTCTAAAATGCAAAATAATAGGGTTATTTATCAGTTACATACGAGTTCGTATTTTACTTCAGCATCTGCTGCATTTTCCTGCCTGCAGAGCCTGCAAATACCTGTGTACCCTTAGTGACAAAGTGACAGTGAGTGTCCTGTACCCCCCTGGGCAGGGGTCAGCCCAGGGCAGCCCTGAGCAGGTATTTATAACATGCCTAAAGCTCCCAATCCTGTTAAAGGTTTGTCTCAGGGAGCTGAGCACATGGCTCAGGGTAGTGACAGTGCACATTTTGCCAGGTCAGTCCTCAATAATCCTCGTCAAATGAGCAACAGATTAATTGATGGCCATTAAATGGAACTTGCCCCTGAGCCTGCAAAGCCCTGCAAGGAGAGGGAGGTGAGTGATGTGAAAGCACCTTTGGGTGGGGATGGTGGTGCAGCAAACCCAATAAACCAGGGCACAAGTCCTGTGTCCCCTGTAATCCACTTACAAGGAATGCCTGTGCAAGACCCTGAGGACTTGCTGTGCCAGGACTGGTCCATAGCAAGGGAAATAAAAACCCAAATCACCCAAAAAAAAACCCTGAACAAAAAAAAACCCATAGATTTTTGGGAAGCCATCCCAACAGATGAACTCTTAATCTCACTTAGTAAATTATACATAACGATCTTCTCTCTTCTGGCCCAAAAAGCAGGTGGTGTTGGGACTTTCCTCTCATTTTGCACATTTTTACCCCTTTAGCCACATAAACTGTGCAGGCTGTTTCATGGATATGCCTTTCACATCCCTGAGAGCTCCTTGCAGGGTCCCTAATGCAGCTGGGTGTGCTGGTGGAAGGTGATAACAAGTTTTGAGGCAGTTTTAGGCCCCAGATCTTCATTTCAGTTCTTCAGCGAGCTGAAGTAGTGCATGTGGAAAAAGAAATCTCAATTTCTAATGCTAAATTTTCCTATTAATGTAATAGTAGGAAATGAACAACCTACAAATCAGCTGCTGGGGCATCTGTTCTATATATCTGTCCCAAACAGTTTATAATAATTATGCCCCTTATTAAAAAATGATGAATCAACAAGTTGGCTGGGAGAGAACAAAGCTCTTTCTAACCTCATTCCTTTAGTGAAAGCTGCTGGATAATTTAAATAATTTATGGGGCTGCTGAGGGACACAATCAAAACGTCACCCAGCTCTGGTGTGGCTGTTTTTTGGGAGCTTTGTTGTGGGCTCTGAAGTCACAGAACGTTTTTCCATGACAGAACATGCTGATGGAGGTAATTCAATTCCTCCTCCACCACCTTGGAAATGTTTTCTTGTCTCATCCCCATGAATAGGCAAATGAAGCTGTGAACTCACAGGGAGGGATTGTACGACTCAAACATCCTTGTTTTTGTTTCATCCCCGGACTGAGTCAGGGTTTCTGAGCTAAATATATGACTTGTTGTGATATTCCTCAGCAGCAATGGACCTAGAACTTATCAAACTAAGGTTTCCTGCAATCTTAGAGGGGATGGAGGGAAGGGCAGAGTGGAACTGGAGCTGTGCCTGGGGCTGGGGGGGAAGGAGCTGTTTTGGTGCTTCAAGGCACACACGAGCCATGAATCAGAGCACCAGCAGCATCCCTGGAGCTGGACGGGCACCCACCCTCACCTGAGACCAGGGGCTGTCTCAGAGGGAGCCAGTGCCACAAGGGAATCACTGCCCTGGCTGGGAAGGTGGGATCTGGAGGGTTCCCTGCCCTGGGAGCAGCTGTGGTACTCACGATCCCAGGGCCTCCATGAAAATGAAGGTTTTTCGGATGTTGCTCGTCTGCTTCTTCCAGGAGCTGCTGTCATCCTCTTCCTTGCGACCCATCTCCTCCAGAGTGGAAGCAGGGAACGCTGTGAGGAAGAGGAGGAGGAAGAGAGGTGACTGCCATGGCTTGGGCTCACATGAAGAACAGGCTGGATTCAGGATGCTGTGGGTGGTGGTTGCTGGGCCAGAGGAATCTGACTTTTCAAGCACGTGAAATTTTGTGCTGCTCTTGCTGCTCACAGCTTGCCCCACCCCTGGAAGTGTCCAAGGCCAGATTGGAGCAACCTGGTTTAGTAGAAGGTGTCCCTGCCCATGGCAGGGAGTGGAACAAAATGATCTTTAAGGTCCCTTCCAACCCCAAACATCCTGTGATTCCATGAGTTGTTCATGCTGCCCATGTCCCTGATGTTATGTCCCGCTGCAAGGGATGGAAGAGTGGATCAGCTGGGGAGGAGCTGGTGACCATATGGTAATTCTCTCTTGTCACTGTACTCATTTAGAGCATGTTGGCAAATACAAATGTTTATATTGTGCTTCACATTTAGTGGCTAAAAAAGCCCTGCTGAACAGTGGCTAATTTTAACTGAAACATCCCCAACTTGATGGATTATGAGTTATGTACAAGCAGTGATGGGGGTGGGTGATGGTTGAACAGTTTTATTGCTCAAATAATAAATAGTTTGAAGAGATTACGACAGCAGGGAGGGGATTTGATAGAAAACCTTTTGTTGGTGTGTCTCACACAGTTTGTACTGCTGACATCTTTGATTTTTTGTTCACTGACAGATTGCCTTTGCTCTGAGTCACAACCTTCCCCTCTCCTCTGTGATTCCACGAAGGGGAGCCCAGCTCTGAGTGCCCTGAGAGCAGTGGTGGGAGCAGCCCACCAAAAATGCAGCTTCCTGGAGCCACCCCAGCTCTGCAAGAGGTGTTCAGGTGTGTGTCACCAGCGTTGGAGGGTGTAACTGCAGCAAACCTGAGTGAGTGCAGGCTCTGGGTGATCCCCATGCCTGAAACCCTCACTGCTGCTCGTGGCAGTGTGACCTGGGGGATGTCCCAATCCCCTCCCAGCTCTAATCTCTTCAGAGCCAGGCCAGGCAGCTCTGCTGGAACCCAGGGGAGCTGTGGGCATGGGGAGCACCGGGAGAATTAGAGCTTGAAGGAGGGCTGGGAGGTATGAAAGGTTACACAAACCTCTAAGCACCCCTGATAAGATCAGGGCTAAGGACTGGAAGGTGAGAATGAAGCCCTTGAGACTAGGAAAAAAAAATACATGTTAAAGTAGCTTGTCCTCACTATCAGGATGTTAAAGAAATGCACTGAAAATATCTCCAGGCAGCAGGGGCTTGGGGGGCTGCCAGCAGCACCCTGGGCATGGGGAGCATCCCTTGGGACATGGAGCATCCCCTGGGACATGGAACATCCCCTGGGACATGGAACATCCCCTGGGACATGGAGCATCCCACTTCCCAGAGCAGGAAGGGCAGCCCAAAAGCTGTGGGACACAGCTGAGTCTTCAGAAGACAAAGCAGAAGCTTTGAGGGATAAATAAACGTTTGGGAAAGGCAGAAGTATTAAAGCAGAGAAAAAGCTGAAGGATCTTTTGTCATGACAGGCAGTTTAGGTATTGAATTCCTCCTGAACCTACTTTATCTCCTTAATTAGCACGTTTTCAGGGTTTTCAGCTCCTTGACACAATTTTTAAAGGTTAATTTAACATTATTGAAAACAAAATTGACTCCATTGTAAACAGTTGAAGGCTTCAGTCCATAAAATCACCAAAGGCCACATGCACTTGGCCTTTATTTACCTTCTGGTTTCTGATGCATGTGTAACTCCTAAAAATACAACTCCCCATAAAAACCAGCCTTATCTTGTTGTTTGGAATCAGTGAAGGTCAAAAATCCTTCACAACAGTGCTGATCAATTAGTAGAAACCTTCCTGCCAATTATTTTGAGCCCCTAAATGATGTTTTCTTTGCAGTCATCCACCCATCCCTAATCTACAGATGTGGAATATCACGAAAAGAGAATTTTCTGGCAGAGACATTCAGCTGGTGGTGAAAGGTGAGTTTTTTCCACTTGAAATAAATACCAAATGCGTGATGGGAGGGTGGTGCTGAACGACAGGTACAGTTGAGATGACCCCTCCATTTCTCTCCCAGCCTACTGCCAAACAAAGATTATGAAGTGAAAAAAGACAAAAAACCAAGTAGGTCAGCCTGGCCCTGGGGACAAATGGCATTTTGGGCTCTGTTCCTGTGCATGGAAGCACATCCTGGTTGGCACAAGCTCTGTGGGGCAGCCCAGGAGGGGCACAGGGCAGAGAAGCCCCTCGTGGGGAGGCTGGGCTGGGCACAGGTGACTGTGTCCCCCCCCATGGGAGGTGACAGGGGTGCCCTGTGCAGTGGAACCTCTATAAATTCACACCCAAGTGTCAAATTTGCCCAATATTTGCTCATTTAAGCGCCGCTCCCTTATCAATCTCTTTAATTCCTTGGGAAAACAACAACTTTCTTGTTTTCAAGTGGATTTTGGTTCTGAAGGAAGGTGGTATCATGTTTTCCTTAATCTCCTGTGAATCATCTGCTCATCCTATAGTTCCTCCTGCTGTCACTCTGTGTGTGTGGCATTTGCTTTGCTGGGCTGGATGAGCAGCTCTGACTCCCAGCACGTGGAGCTGATTTCCTGCTCTCTCCGTTTTTCTGTGCCATCATCAGCAAGTCATTTCCTGCCTCCTCTCCCCTTTCTGCAGGAAAGGGGAGTGAGTGGTGCTGTTTTGAGAGCAAAATAATGGAAGGTTTGAATTACCTCAAATGTAAAGCTGCAGATGGCAGGGGGAAGGGGGTGGAAGTGGAGGATGTTTAAGGTCCCTTCCAACCCAAACCATCCTGGGATTCCATATGGGCTCAGGTGATGAACACTTGCCCACCTTCCTCCTTGTGTTGGATCACATCCTTTTCAGTGTTTTTTGTTCCTCTTTTGGTACAAGGGAAAGTATTTGCAAAGGGATTTGGGGCAGGACACAGCAACCTCTCAATCCAGCTGGGATTATGGGATTAAGAGACCTGTGACTTCCTTGATGCTCCAGGAGCTTGTCTTTGTTTCTCAATCTGGTTAAGTCACCTGTTGCACTTCAAAGAAGTTGGTGAGAATGTAATGTTTGATGTATTTGTTGTCTGGGCTTTGTTATTTATTCAAGCTCTGGCCCAACAACCACAGAACCCCAGAATGGTTTGGGGTGGAAGGAAATTTAAAGCTCATCTCATTCCACCCCCTGCCATGGGCAGGGACACCTTCCACTAGCCCAGGTTGCTCCAACCTGGCCTTGGACACTTCCAGGGATGGGGCAGCCACAGCTTCTCTGGGCAACCTGTGCCAGGGCCTCACCTTTCCAATCCCTTTCTTGCTGTTGGGACACAGCACGTGGGTAAATAGGATTTATCATATTTACTCACTTACTTGAAGAAACTTTACTTCCCGCAGGAATAGAAAACATAACAGCAGTTGGGCAAACAGACTTCGTGCTGGCACTGGCAGGTTTTCCTGCCAGGTGATGTGTCCATCCTGCCCCTGCCCCTCTTTCACTTGTCAGCTCCAACCTGACACCCCCTCCATGTGCACCTCACCCCCAGCTCAGGGGGTATTCCAGCCCCAAAAGTGGGATGCACACACAGAGTGCACCCAAAATACACATTATTTCAAACACCTGCTCTAAACAAGGGTCTGTGTTGCCCCTTTTGCCCCTTCACCTCTGGGCAGTGCAATCACACCAGAGTGTTAAGGTTGCATAATAAGATTGCAAAGCTCATTAACGAAGGCAGGTGAAGACCTTTAGAGCTGAAAATGAAGTACATAACATTGCTTTCATTTGTTCAGCTTCCCTCCTCCCCATCAGAACAAATTAAGCAGCATATGGGCTTCAATCTGATGAGTTTATATATATATACATATATATATCAAAATATATATAAAGAAATAAACAGTATTTACATTAATGTCTAACCTGTGGGCTCCTCTACAGCCTAAGTCAACAAACGTGGCTGCTGCTCTACTCTGATCCAGCAGGACACATCAGAGTGTAATGAATGTTATTATGACCTTGCCTAAATATTTCCTGAGGAAATTCGTTCTGCTTCCACAGTAGCAAATCCATCTGCAGGCAGCCACTGCTTCTGAATGGATGTACTGCATTAGCAAAATTATTGTAAGGCATGATTAATAGTCTCTTGACAAAGTTACATGTGGAGGGGGGGAAGAGACATGCAGCTTTCATGGGTTTGCCTTTGGAATTAGAAGTTTACAGGAATAAAAAAAAAAAAAGGAGAATGCAAACTCGAAGGGCTTTGATTTAAAAAAAAAAATACACCGAAGCAAGCAATCTGCATGTGAATGAATGAAGTGCCAGGGCAGCCTCTGTGTTCAGGGACAAAAGAACAAGAAATTGGAAACACGAGCTCGCCATGAAAAACAAACCCACCTCAAACATCTTCTATTCCCCCCCCACACCCCATCGATTCAAAAGCAGTGCTTTAACTTAGTAGTTAAAGATGGACACTTGCAAAAGCTCGATTTTAATTAGAAATATTCCAGGTTCCATAGAATACTTCGGAAGTAAAATGCCAGAGGCAGCTTTCTATGAAATGCTAAATACAACACGAGTGCTGGAGGATTCTGCCTGCACAGAGTTCCGAGATAAAATTCATCTTTAAAAAAAAAAAAAGGCAGGTTAGCAGGAATCCCCACCCGCTTCAGCGCCCGGAGCAGGCTAAGAGGAAAAGCAAATGGCTCTCAAGGAAAAGGATGTTTTTCGCTTACCCAAGTCAGCACCAACAAAGCAACTCCTGTTGGCCGCCGCTCCCGCCCGGCTCCGTGTGCGGGGATTAGAGCCCGCTCGGAGGAGGAGGAGGAGGAGATGCTGGAGCTGCTGGGATGGTAACCAGGCAGCACCTGACGGCGAGGAAATCACCACGAGCACGAGCTGGGAGGGGGGTGAGAGGAGGAGGAGGCGGCGGGACCTGGGAACCCCAGAGCTTCCCACCGGGAATCGCCTCCCTCGCTGGGAGAGGAGGCGCGGCAGCAGCAGCAGCAGCAGCTCCTCGGCAGCGGTGAAATATCCCCCGGGTGGGATGCAAATTTAATTTGCCTTAATCAAACAGATGACTCCTGGTATTTAGAAAACATCCCACTTTCCTTTGTGTGGCACTGGGAGTTCTGTGGGGCCGGCGGGACTGGACCAGGACAGGGTTTCCCACCAGGACAGGGTTTCCCACCAGGACAGGGTTTCCCACCAGGACAAGGGTTTCCTACTAGGACAGGGTTTCCCACCAGGACAGGATTTCCCACCAGGACAAGGGTTTCCCACCAGGACAGGGTTTCCCACCAGGACAAGGTTTCCCACCAGGATGAGGGTTTCCCACCAGGACGAGGGTTTCCCACCAGGACAGGGTTTCCCACCAGGACGAGGGTTTCCCACCAGGACGAGGGTTTCCCACCAGGACAAGGTTTCCCACCAGGACGAGGGTTTCCCACCAGGACAAGGTTTCCCACCAGGATGCTCCAGCCCTGGCAAAGTGATGCTCCTCACCATTTTTAAATGGCACAAACCCACAGAAAAAAGCCATCACAGCGGAGGTTAATCTTCATCCCCAGTTTTTGGGCTATTTTCACCCATACAATGGCTCTATTTTGACTTTCAAGCCCTCCCTGTGAGTGCCTCCTCAAGCACAACACACATGAATATAGGACATATTAATAATTCTTTGAGTCTCTTCTATAGTGGAGGATTTTTAGAGCTGGCAATAATGACTTTACTGACTGCATTCTCAGTTGATTTACACTGCCACCTAGAATAATGCATGAAAAAAGTACATATCACTGCAAAGTTTAGTTTTATGTCAGGAATAAATCAGCTCTGAGGCAATACTAGAAAATCACATTCTTTTTCTTTATATGTTTTTCTCAGTAGCTTCGTTCCAGGGCAAAGGCTGTTTTATATTCTTCTTTTCTTTTTTTGGCCAAGCTCCAACTCTGTGAACTCCACAATGGATTAGTGGCTTTTTGTCAGAATTTCTGGATGTGGGTTTGAATGTGCAGGTTGTCTTAAGTGCTACATTTTGGTGGGATTTGCATTGGTTTTACCTTGAAATCCATCTTGTGGCCTCAGCTGTACCTCTGGAGTGAGGGGGAACCAGTTCCACTGCTGGGATAAGCCCAGAGAGCCATGAGATGGTTTATTGGGGGTACATCTACCCCATACAGACAGAAATGTGCCCTATATGTGAGTGGGTAAAAACATGGACACGCAGGCCAAGCCTTGCTCTGATTTTGGAGCACACTGCCCAGGGAAGTGGTGGATTCTCCATCCCTGGAAATGTTCAAAAAACCAGCAGATGTGGCCCTTGGTGCTATGGTTTAGCTGACAAGGTGTTTGGTTGAAGGTTGGACTTGATGATCTTGGAGGCCTTTCCCAAACTTAACGATTTTATGATTTTGGATTTTCTTATTAATTTATTTTGCTTTCCCACAAGCTGTCAGCCATTGCATCCTAACTGGAAATTTAACAGCCACAGTTTAATCTTGTGTTGTGAGATGACCCAGAAAGGACACCCTGGACCAGGGAGGGATTTTTAGGATAGATTCAGTGGAAGGATCCCACAGCAGAGCCGGGTGCTGCCCACAGGTCCTGGGGAGGTGGTGGGAGACATGCTCAGGGAAGGCAAGGAGGGGAGCAACAAGTGCTTTGCTGAAATGGGTTCATTATGATCTAATTCCAAACAAAATGCCAATAAGGGACACAAACTGGCAGGGATACAGGAGCATCCATCCTCCCTGTGACGCTGTGTCTGACCCTGGGGTCTGTCTGTTTGTCAGGGTGCAGCACTGAGCCAGGCTGGGTTCACTGTGGGGTGATTGAGGGGAAATGAAATGAAAAAATAACATGATTTGTGATCCTGTGGCTGCTTTGGAGAAGTTTAAGACGGAGATAATGAGAACAAAAGGGAAGCATCGACTCCTCTGCAGTTCTTGGAGCTGAATTGTGCAGGAGGAGGTGGCTGTGATAAACTGGAGCAGGTGCCCATGGCTTGTC